CTCAGCTGATCTCATGCCTAATGCAGCGTTTTATGCCTAAAACATCACGAGCTCTTTAAATCAAGAGCGATTTCGATGGAGGGATTTTTTCCCTCCTCCCCACAATCAGAAGAAGAAGCATCTTTCCATCTTCTCTGCCCTGTACGTGCGTTGACGTGTTACGTAACACGCACGACGGCATTGCATCAGACTCAACATTTGTTTGTGCACTATAGAGACGCATCTGCAGGTCGCCCGTTATCCACCCAGCACCTGTCACACTGGCTGTGTGAGGCCATTTCTGAAGCCTACAGAGCTTCAGATTTAGAGCCTCCTGACAACTTCAGGGCGCACTCGACCAGAGGTATCGCATCTTCGACTGCTTTGCATAATGGTATGTCAATGAAGGATATTTGCACTGCGGCTGCGTGGTCAACACCCTGTTCATTTATTCGCTTTTATTTACAAGATATTACGGCTCGTTCCATGACACATTCTGTCCTTAGTGCCTTAACAGAATGAATATTGTTGTTTCATGGAATCTCGTTTAAACTCGTGTAGTGAGAGAGCCGAGAGATGGATTTAGCTCAGGGGTGCTCTCTTACATTTTATAATATCTGGACTAATTCAAGTACATAATATTATATTTAATTTAAAAGGATTCTTTCATTTTTCTGGACTGAGTAATATCGTGCCTCGAAGATTAAATGTGGACAAAGACGTGTTTAAATTTCTGACCCACCAACAACAGTGAGGTCTTTTATTTATCAAAACGATTTAAACACATCACACATTTACACATTGATTGACATAATTGATTACAATAACACAGCTTAATTAATCAGCTTTACAATGAGAAATCATACGGCCATGATTTCTCACTTGCAGCTTGAAACAACAGACATATCCTTAGATCTTAAATTAATGTCTGCAGGTTTTAGCTTATCTTTACTGGCAGAAAGAAGAGTTTTAAAGATGGGAAATGAAGGAGTTTAAATGGAGGGAAAAGATGGATGAGGATGTATGTCTGTAAACCAGAACAACACGCTCCTTTCAAGCGCAGTTCGCCCGCAGTACACTGGTAGTGAAGCTCGTGACGACTCTTTACCTTGGCAGAGGATGAATCAGCTGCGGTCAAGAGGTCCCTGGCACGCTACCTTTCAGCGTCTCCTCAGGGCAGCTGCGACTCGGCAGAAGTCGTGAGATAATTTGTTCCACAGAACAAACTTCCCCAGCAGTTATAGGGCAATCACCGGGTGGAGCCACAGCGAGGCGTCGTGGCTCCGACAGGAACTCCAGCCGAACTCCATCAGAACCAGAAGAACTAACGGGACTCTGAGAAGACTCAGAGGAACTCAGAACTTCTGTTCTCCAGCACTCGAACTTCTCCCCACTAGAACTTCTGTTCTTCCCCCAGAACTTCTGTTCTGTTTCGGAACTTCTGTTCTTCCCCCAGAACTTCTGTTCTTCCCCCAGAACTTCTGTTCTGTTTCGGAACTTCTGTTCTTCCCCCAGAACTTCTGTTCTGTTTTGGAACTTCTGTTCTTCCCCCAGAACTAACTGGAACTAGGAAGTGTCGACTTTTAAAGAGTTCTGCTTCCGGTCACTTTTAGGAAGTCCTGATTGGTTGAAAGAACCAACAGGGGTGTGGTTTTAGTGACGTCAGAGGGTTATTACAAGTCAGATAAACAGCGGAGATGTTTAGGAACAGACAGAGAAATGTTTTGGAGAAATGACAGACTACAGGTGCCAGTTTATCTTGTTTCTGTCTGAGAGGTTTAAAAACATGACAGTTCGTTCCATTAAACTTGTTTGCGACTGTCTCTGACTTTTGACCGACATCACACCTTTCTCATTTCAGACGGAAGATCAAAAAATGCATAATTACTTTGTAACAGACATTTAACTTGATTTCTACTTTGAATGAGGATTAAAAAATCATTACTACTGTTTCACAGTTGATTTAAAATGAGTGGTTCACTTCAACATTTAAAATGGTTTGAACTAAACACACTTTTGATTATCAAGACATTGTAAAAATAGTAATGATAACATAAAAAAGAGAGTGTTCTTTCAATTGATTAGTGCAGGACACACTTAGAAAGTCTCTGGATGAGCTAATTTGTATTTCTGGATTCAAATCAATGAAATAACAGTTCCTGTCCCATGAAGGTCCTCAGAGGCAGGTTTTGACCGGAGGCTTAGTTCACTACACTCACATCTGACTGCATGCATTTACAGTGTGAGATGTTGTTATCAGTAACAAAATATGACTATTGTTCTTGTTCTATGGTTATTAATCAGTTCATGACTACTGTCATCAATCAGTTCATTTGATTAATAATCAGTTCATTTATTATTAATCTCTTCATATTGAAGAGCCGTGGATCTGCTCTGTTCACGGCCTTTTTCAGTCTCTCCTCTTTTCTGTTGAAAACCTTTCCAGGGCGTTCATGCACTCGGAACGCGTAAATTACGCAGTGCGCGTCTGTGCATGGTGCGTGTAATTACGCAATGCGTATTTACGCACATGGAGAGCTGAGTGTCAAGATGGTTTTTTGGGCAAGCGGGCGCTTCTTTTGGTGTTCGAATGGACCCAGTGAGGCAGAGACTACATCCGCTTCGTCCTTAACCCACTAAGCGACAGCTCTTAAAGGGCGAAGCCTATACGAAATAGAATGTTGGTTACGTACTGTAACCCCAGATTTTATGAGTATAGGCGTAGCCCTTTAAGCGTCGGGCCTCACTGGCTCCTAAATGGCTGAAGAAAAAGCTATTTGGGAGCCGATTACCCGCTCTTAACGTAATTTATACGGACCGGGTGGGGCCTACACAACAGGTGGGCGTGGACTACATTTTTTTCAGTGTGATGCTTTGCATGACGGGATAAACCCACCTTCAACAGCTCTTAAAGGTTTACGCCTAAACCATAGGTGTCACAACCATTATATGTGAAGGGGACAAGTCCCCCCCACATTAAAAAAAACGTTCATTTGGACTCCCCCACTTTTACTATAAAACATTAGATCAGGCGGCACAGTTTCTCTTTCTTCGTGAACAAATCCATTCCACTTGATTAATAGGAGAATACTCAAACTACTAAAACGCCACTCCAGGTTTTCCTGTTTACCTCCAACTCTCCATCGTCGCTTCCTGCCTCGGCAGAAAACGCGCACAGGTGGAGGAGGTGGAGGTTCCTGTTACTCGCTCGCCAGTTTAGCAGCTTAGTGCGGGCAGTGGTTGACCAGGGGGTTGATCATAAACATATATTCATGTTAGGAGGATGTTTGAGAGGAGCGCTGCGTCTGTAGCATGTTAGCTTATCAGTAACTGTGATGCTGTAAGACGCTGCAGGTGTAAGAGACGTGGTGTGTTCAGATGCATTAAAGTTGAAATGTCTTTAAAACCCCACACCTTTCTGTCCTCAAGCTTCATGAGAAACATCATTTAGATGAGTAGTGTTGAACACAGTAAAAAAGTCCAGTGGTGATGTTTTTTATTTCTCTATAAAGACAATTAGTGCCGACCTGACGCTCTGTATTAAAGTGTATTAAAGTTTAAATGTCTTTAAAATCCACAGCTGAATTTACACAAACTTGGGAGAAACATGTTTTAAATGTGTGGAATTAAAGGAAATTTAGGTGAAATGTTGCTTTTTTGTTCACAAGTGAACACCTTTTTTTACGTGCGCACACACGTGCACGCGCGCACACGCACACACACCTACAAACATTACTGTGTCCCCCCACATTACGGATGCTTCTGACGCCCTTGGCCCATACTCATAGAATCTGGGGTTACAGTACGTAACCAACGTTCCCATGTTGGGGAGGGGGGAACAGATTATTTCAGATAACTAATACTTCCAGGTAACTTTGGCAAATAAAGAGCAAATGTTTCCAAATTCTCAAGGATAGTTGTGTATGATGATTGAACCTAAATCTCAAGATGATTAAATAATCACCAAAACATTACAAAGTGTGAACTTCAGGCTGAAATCTTGTGTTCCACGTACTTTGTTGTTTAAGCATTTGTTTTCTCCTTAAGAGAAATAAAAGAAAAAACAGACATTAAATACCAAAAAAATAGCAGCTAGCAGCTAGATAGCAGCTGTTCTCCAATATTGTCATATTTTTCATTTGAACAAGATTCACCAGAAAGCCTATATTTATCTTTTCAGGAAGTTTATTTTTTCGTGTCCTGCTCTCACTAGCTTCCATCCTTCTATGTTAGCAATAAAAAAAAAAAAAATAAGCATAATGTGTTGGTGGCTGGGGCTGCACGGTGGCACAACTGGTAGAGCTGCTGCCTCTCAGCGAGCAGGTCTATGGCTCAAACCCCGGTCCAGGGGCCTTTCTGGGTGGAGTTTGCATGTTCTCTCCGTGCATGCGTGGGTTTTCTCCGGGTGCTCCGGTTTCCTCCCACAGACCAAAAACATGCATGTTAGGCTGATTGGTAACTCTAAATTGTCCTTAGGTGTGAATGGTTGTTTGTCTCTATGTGTCCCTGTGATGGACTTGCAACCTGTCCAGAGTGTCCCCCGCCCCTCGCACAGTGATTGCTGGACATGGGCACCAGCGACCCCCGTGACCCAAAATGGAACAAGCGGGTAAAGAAAATGGATGGATGGATGGATAGATGTTGGTGGCTGACTGATACTTGTCAGGCTAAAGTGAACATGACCAAAGTTGTAGATTCTCTCGGCGATTAAAAAAAACCAACAACAACAAAAAAAATACGACCTGTATAACACCCCCACACAATACCAGGTTTTTTTTTTTATTTGTTTGAGGTTTTACATTTATTTATTTATTTATTTACCAGGAGCTGTCGATTAAAATGAAAGTTACAACCGTGACACGATTAGGTGGACTCAGAGCCCTGTAAAGAGACTCTCTTTACAGGGCTCTGGGTGGACTCGTTTTACCGAGGAATCTATCAGATGAGCGGTGCAGTTGACCTGCCTGCCACAGGGGGGAGTCGTGAGCTCTGCCCGGGGCTACGGAGCTCCATTTTTCAAGATGTCGTCGTTGGAGCAGAGGCTGTCGCGAATTGAGGAGAAGCTAAAGCAGGAGAATGAAGAAGCCCGCCGGAGAATCGACCTCAACATCGACATGAGTCCACAGCGATCACGTCCGAGGCCGAGTGAGTGTCCACCGGGTACCGCGGATGTGTCGGTGTCGGCCCGTAGCAGGACAGAGACCCGAGAGGAGGAGCGGAGGTTGTTTCGCTGCTTGTAGCGACATGCTAACAAGCTAGCTACGTAAACAAACACCGAGTACTCGGTTCTACGTCCTAATTCGTAATTTTTAAAGTATAACAGTTCATGTAGAGAGTAATTCAGAGCAGGGGTTTAAAGCTGCGACAGTGTCATGATATTTGTTGTTGACAGTCTTGCGTGGAAATCTGTTTCTGTCCTGTCAAACATGCTAAGCTAACAGCTAAAAGGCAAAGTTGGTGGCAGGCCTGGCGTCAGGATGGAAAAATAATCTTTACCGTGCATTAAGAAGAGGTCATGGACGTGACACTCATCCACAGTAATCAAAAATGTTCACAGTTACAGTGAGCAGCGTGTTTTCACGCAACTTTTGTGTTAACGTTAGATTTCATTCCCATTTTTAATTACTTGTACAGTAATTAAAGGGTAGCTACAATGTGGGAGAGGGTGGACATTGAAGCACAAAGTAACAGGTAAAGAAAAAATAACTGTAAACTACAGTTATTTTCAAGATTTTAATCAACATAAAATGAGTCTGTCTACATTGATTTGTTTCAACCTTTGTTTTGCACCCTTTAAAATGGTCTACTTGTGTATTTTTTATTGCAATTTTAATACTTTCTCCCTTTAATACATGCTTTATATAGATGTTTGTTCAGCTTTTGTTTTGAATGTATTGTCTGGATAAAATGACTTGACGGGACCTGCTGAAATGTTGTGATTTGGGTCTTTGCTGCTGTTAAACTCAATTTTGTGACGTGCCAACATAGAGGCGGTGCAGCTATTTTGCAATCTTTTTTTACAATATTGGTGGTGAGAAGAATAATCAGATGAATACATGAACCCTGTCATCGTAAATGAAGACTGCTCGGAAAAGACAGGAGTAGCGGTATCACCAGAAGATGCATTTAGTTAGAAAGAAGGATCATATCAGTGTGCTGTGATTGTGAGAAATAACAGAGAACGGAAAGAGCTAAGTTTAGCTTTGAGCACTCAAGGTCCAGCTGAGGTTTAATTCTTGACATTAACAAGAAATTAATTCCGGAAAAACCTGAACACACCACTCAAAAGTTTTAAGTCCTCCAGTGGTTGTCACAACTGCATGCCCTCTTTTACAATTGCACTTACAGCTGTTCTACACATCATTGTGTTCAGTGCTTGTGTCAATGGAAGCAGCTGACATTATGCACAGCCACTGATGCCTCCTCTTTCCTGACAGCTTCTAGCATTCTTCTCGATTCTATGCAACTTGTAGTTTGCATTGCAAAAACATTTTTAAACCAGATTGAGTTGAGCAACCTCAGCAGTAATTTAACCATCTAAAAGATAAGGGCATTCAACAAGCAACTTTAACCGCAGTTTCTTTGGTTCTCTGATACCTTCGATTTGGCCAACAGCTGGTTTGACGATGTCACGTGAAAGACTTTTACTGTCATTTTCTAATGAGAGGACGACCATTTGTTCTAACTAACAGCTGTTTGTAAAGAATACTTCATTCAGATCCAGATAAACCAGCTCTGTATGAGGGATGATACGTTCAGGGCATACCCGTTTAAAAGAGATGAAACATTTTCCACTGTGTTAATCAGAGGAAGTCATGTTATCGTTGGACACAACCAGCTGCTTTGTTGGACCAACAAACTGTGGTTTGGGTAACATTCAGAGTGTTTGGTACAGTTTTGATTGTCTTTCCCTGCAGATGGTTTTATCAAAGGTATTGGAGTTAAGGGAGGATGTGTTCAAGGCACAGCGATGAGCAGTTTTATTTAAAGTGATCCCACAAAAAACACCAAAGCAAAGTCCGCTCCAGTTTAGGTACAGACGGTTAAAATATATCCTGATGCATGCTCAATAATCCAGTTAAAATATGTTCATCTGTTCTGTGAGGACCATGTGTTTGAGGCAGAGCTTTACAGTCCCAAACTGAAGTGAAGCAGTTTTGGTTTTATGCTTCTATAAAGAACATGTCCACTTTTTAATGAAGCCATTTATTTTCTGAAATTTGATGGAACGTGTGTGGCTGTGTGACTGTCTGAGTAGAACAGTGCAGTAATGCGAGCGTGTGTATATTCTCTTTCTTCCGTCTAGTCATCGTGATCCAGCTCAGTCCTGCTCCAGCCCCCTCCCAGCGTGCAGGTATCATTCCATCCATCGCTCCTTCTGCCACTGCACCCTCCTCTTAACGTTCCTAACACCTTCATCTCCTGTTTCTTACTCCAGCTACTTTTTGGTATTTTGTCCAACAATGCTGCAGATGACTGAGGGAAAATCTGAGACAAGTCTCTAGTCCTTACACACAAGACACTTTTTCACAGTTTTATAGTGTAAAAAATGTTGTGTATTTTCTCCAAGTACTGTTAGAGGCGTTTATGTATATCACCAAGTAAAAAACGTTTTTAAAAGCTGTGTGACCTGTTTAAAGGCAAGATGGTAAAAAGACTAATGCAGTTTGTAAAAATTAAATGGCTATTAATGACACACATTTTTTATTAAAAACAGGCAGATACTACAAGTTCAAACTACCAGCTTGGTTTAAAAGATGTTGAGTTTTTTCGCTTTAGTTTAAATATCCAAATCAATATTATTTTTGATAAAAGAAGACACGAAAATACAGATGAACTAGGGCTGGACGATATGGCCAAAACTTTTATCACAATATATTTCTTAATTTCGGTCGGTAACGATATCATTCGATATTGATATAAACAATATAAAAGCCTCAGAAAAACTACAAATAAATGAATGTTCACCGTTTATTTGTATTTAGCCTTCAAAGAAATTTGAAATCACCGTCAAATAAACATAAAACTCTCAACTTTGTCAATATTAATAATCTTAACTTTAAGCAACAGCATAACCTAACATGCATGTTGCATGTTTCTCTTTAGATACAGCTGGTGGTGATGTTTCAGGGACACGTTGGATCAAACTTTTATTGTGCTTCATCTCCTCACTCTCAGCTTATTCTGTCGAGTGGAAACTCTTCAGATGGAACAAGTTAAATGTGTTCCCACCGCTAGTTGGAACGACTCTCATTTTGCAGCACAAACCTGCAGTTTAAGGATCTTAGAAAGTCGAACCACTTCCACACCACCAAATTCGTCTTTCCTCTCATCATTTATGTCATCTGCTTTCTCTTCGCTTGTTCAGCCACATTCTGACGGTCATGGGCACTCATTTTGAAGCGAAAACTTAACGCGCGTTGGAGATTAGCCTAACCTGCTAACGCCTTCTGGACTCGAGCTCTGCGTAACATCTACGTCACCACGCACTTATGTAGTTGTGTCGCACCTTTTTCTGTCCGGGTTGAAACTGAAGCGCTTCAACCCGAACAGAAAAAGAAGTGCATCAGTGAAACGCTGTAATCATAGCGTAATGTATATCGAAATATCAAAAATATGCTTAAAACTCATATCAACGTTATTGAATAAAAGTAAATTGCGACATATATCGATATCGAATTATTGCCCAGCCCTAAGATAAACTAAAAGAAAACATTTTTTTATGGTTCTAGACCACATTAAGCCAAAACAACCGTGTGGTAAAAACCTGGATATTGGCTTCACAAAGACATTGAACATTATGCGAAGGGATTTCCTAGAGCTATAGCAGCTAGCAGGGGAAAATAGTCTGTTTCAAACCAAATATATTATGAGGGTTTTATTAAACACAGGGTTATTGCTGAAGACATACTTGTTAAATAAACTATGATTTAAATATAGGACAATGATATTTTCGTTGCCAGGTGGTGTATGCATTTTTACCCCTCAGGTCTGGCAACAATCGATATTTTCACTTGTTTTTTCACTGCAGCCTGTGCTTATCCCAACTCCTTTTGCCAGCACGCGTCGCTTGTGGTTCTGAAAGATGACATTCACAACAGAGATGACCAGTCTTTAAAACAAACTGGTGCACCATTCTGAATCACCACGCACACACAGGCTGCAGAGTCAGAAAACGGTCCAGCAGGGAGCTGGAACAATCCACACGGCAGGTTCAGCAGCTCTTTGCGAGTGCAGTAACACACAGATTTGCTTTGAGAGGAAATTGCAACAGGTTCTTGTAAAAGGAACAACATGTTGGACTTTTGCGTGTCCAGAACGGAGGACGTATGATTATAACAAGCTCGTCTGCATCAGACTAGTTCAGTGTCAGAAATGTTTCTGGAAGAACATGAGATTTAATCCAAATACTTGATCAATTAATAAATACTGGATAGCTAGAGCACTGTAATTAACTTTCTCCTTCAACAGACAACATGTTTGTCTTTCTAACCCTCAGTATTCTAGTATTACTCCAAGAGGCTGCGTAAACTGTGTATAAATCAAACCAGTCTTTGACTAGTGCTGACATTTTAGTTCAGCAGCAAAGGACTCCTCTTATAAACTTCCATGTCCTCTTTGTGTGTCTGTGTGTGTATTTGTGTGTGTGCCAGTGGCAGGGCAGTGTTGGTATGCGTCGATGTGGTCAGTGTGCGTGTGGGCGTGTGCAGGACGATTAACCTTTAAGGCCGAGAATCACGGTGCATGCGGCTTATCTGCACGGCGCAATGGAATGGGTCGTCTGTTTTAAGTTCTGTTTGACGGTCTCTAATCCAGCATCCCCACTGGTCCGTTAGCAGGAGTGCTGTGAACACTGTCCTCCTCTTTCCACATGTGCAGACTGAAAACTTCCTCCTTCCTGTCCAGGTCTGACTGTCTGACTTCAGTTTGATCTGTGCTATGCAGTTTTGGCTGAATTTCTTCTCTCGCTCGCACACACTGGACAGCTTGTCGTCTTTCACCTCTCTGCATCCCCCTCGTCCCTTTGCAGTGGCGCTGTGAGCAGGAGGTGGGGCAGCAGCACCTGCTCACACCTGATTTTGTGCTACATGTCTGTTTGGAGCCAGTCGAACCTTGGAGATGCACATTACTAAAGACTGCCTGAGTCTTTCTTTCTGTCCACACTAACCCCTCGTCTGTTTCACTGATTAATTCTCTTTTTACAGGCTCATCCATCCAAGTGACACTGGCACTCGGAGAAGCTGCCAACCTGCTACGACCAAACATTTATTATGATAAGAGTAAAAGCTGCAAGGTTCACAAAAAGTTTCCAAGCTGTCTGCCAACTTTTAAAAATCTAATGTTGTGGTGGCGATGATAGGAGCTAGCTAAACTGATTTAATAAAGTGTCAGGGGTTATGAAAAGGTTTGATTAATTTCAGTTTCAAATGATAGTCTTTTATTACTCTGTCATTGATTCAGCCCATGATTTAATTGGCAGGGATGTCCAAAAACCAAAACAATCACTGAAATCTGAGAGCTTGACATTGCCAAAACTAGCTTACAAGCACATGCAGATTAATACTTGGATAGCCAAGATAAAAAATAAAATCTTTGCACCAAAAGGATTCCCCAAACTGATCATCGTTTCACTTTTCCACTCAGCTCAGTCACCTCTAATTATTGGTCCCATTCACAGTTTGTTTCTCCCTCACTGACAATAATTACCAGCAACATGGATACGTTCACTGATGGGTTTACCTCTAAATACAGTGTCCACATCTGGCACATGCTGGTTTATTTAAGATCAGCACCGTCGCTGCTTATGGCCCGACCTTCATTACTCTGGATATATTTCTTCAAACTGATTGTTGTTGTTTGAGCACCATCAGTGCACACAGAAGTCTGCAACTTCTGATAGGAATGTGAACCCCTGCAAACGTTTTGAGTCATTTTAAAGAATGGGGTGGCTGTGGCTGAGTGGTTAGAGCAGTCGTCCTCCAATGCAAGAGTTGGGGGTTTGATTCCACCAGCAGTCACATGCTGAAGTGTCCCTGGGCAAAACCCTGAACCCCTCATTGCCTCTGATGTGTGTCCCATCAGTGTATGAATGTGATAAAGCTCTGATTATTCTTTGTAGAGATCTAGTAGTGATGAATGGGTAGATGAGGGCACAGATTGTTAAGAGCTTTGAGTGTCTTGATGAGATAGGAAGGTGATATATAAGTACAGTCCATTTACCATTTAAACACTCTTGTGAAGTCATTTGCTAAAATATCTTAAGTAATTGCTGCCTGGTAAAATACTGGCTTAAGAATCTACGTTCTCTGTATTTTGATGTCAGTAATGTGGATGTTTTCAGCAGTCGGCATATTTTTTTTATTTTGCCTGCGTGGACCGATAAAAGAAATAACGGTTCACAAAATATATCCAGAGTAATGCAGAAGGGCCTTAAATCGGCAACAATACGAAGCTGGAGTGCTGGTGGTTTTAATTGAAGTACTAAGTAATCCAAACACTGCAAAGACCATTGCTGAAACTGAGATAGGACTGTCCCGTAATGTAATTTCTTTTTCATGGTTTTAGCCCTTTAAAGACAGATTATTTCTTTATTGTGCTGTGAGGAGACGTGGCAGAGCTCTTTTAATCACTGCTGGCCGTTCAGTGTAAAAGCTTGTCTGGATTTGTATTGTTGCTTCTGAGAGCCCAGCACTTCTTCAAACTGCTTAATGACCGTAAAAATACAAACCATGTTTTTAAGTCTTTGAATTTTTATAGGACAGTTTGTGGACATCCCGTAACACTTTGCTGTCTCTTTGTTGCTTTCGCTCAAAGATAACCGCCCTGTTTGTTTTCATATCACTGGCAAAACCAAACCAAAGTTTTTACTTTGAGCTGGAGGTTTTGAGGGAAATCCCTGACCGGACCACAGCCAGTTTCCATGGTGTTTCTTGGAAAGTGGCACGAGGTATAAAAGATTGTGTTACTTTGCTCATTAGGCACTTTCATTTACTTCTGTGAAATAAGAACATGACTAAATAGCACAAAACACAGGAAACTCTAAGGTCCATTAAACAAGGTCAACTTCTTTTTGTTGTGAGCAGCAGCTTAAATTTTGTACAGTAAAGTGCTTCAGCACACACCACCAGCTTTGGTCTTTGGTTGGTCTCTAATGTGTCTTATCCCACTTTAACCCAGCGCTCCAGCTGCCCCTGGCCAACGATGGAGGCAGCCGCTCGTCATCTTCAGAGAGCTCGCCTCAGCATCACCCCTATCCCAGCCGCCCACGACACATGCTCACTCTGCCCACGCCTCCATACGGCATACAGAAGAGCCTCGAGAAGTAGGTTGAGTCCTCCATGTCTGATGAAACGCTGTTGGAGACGTGCTTCTGTTAATGAACCAGTAAAGAACAAGGTGTCATCAGCTGGTTTCAGCGTTTCAGCTTTTTGCTGAAAGCGTCTTTGATGTGAAAATAAAAACAAACAAGTAAAATAAATTGATTTTTATTTGATGAATAACCATCGGTATAGTTTATAAATTCTGTTAATAATAGAGCCTGACCGATATGGACGTTTTGGCTGTCGCTGATACCAGTTTTGGGCGAGGAAGGCTAATGCTAATGACCGATACATTGGCTGGAAATTTTTACAAAAAATCTCAGTAAACAGCTACTTTTAAATTTGTTTAAACACTTGAAGTCTTGAAACAGTCTTCCAAACGTGCGTTCACATTTTTTATCCTCCACTATTCACCATAAAGTTATCGTGTCACAAAAATATAAATTAAACAAAGAAACATCCTTCCTGTTCATTGTTTTAACGTTGAAGGTCTAATTAGTTTTGACCACAGCAGTTTTTTTTTGTTTTTTTTTGCAGAGAAGTAAAGATTTCAGACAAACAATTAATTTCATTGAGGACGGCAAAGATAAAGTTACTAACACTGATATGTTTTACCTCTACGTTAAATTTATTGTTCTGGATAAAGTTTTACAAGGCAATAGCCTATGCTAGGTTATCTAAACGTTAGCTTGCTAACATGAAAGACGCGTAGCTAATGACAAGCATGTTTGAGGATTGAAGAGAATTTATTATTGTTGATTTATTACATTTTACAGATCAGTTAAATAAACTTACTATGCTCTGTTCAGCAAAATACACAGTATTGTTCTCTGCTTCAGCTGTGCTGAAAGTGAAAGTTAAAGTGAACGGTCATGACTTGAAAGTCTTCATGCGCCCTCTGCTGGATACTTTGTACAACTACAGCTGGTTCCAGCATTTTAGGGGTGAATATTAGAAGTGTTTATATCTGTGCACAATAGAACAATTATCACCAATACTAATATGTCCCCAAACGTTTATATCGGCCTAAAATAGCAGTTCTACCGATGTATTGGTCGGGCTCTAGTTGATAATTGATTTCCCCACATGCAAAAGAGAAATGAAAGGGATGTAAAAAATAAAATACAAACAACGCTCATTTTATGACAGTTTTCAGCGAAACACACTTCATGTTACCTTTGCTGGCTTGGTTTCATTTGTTTGTGCTTTTAATGCTCACAGCGTGGAGATTGACCAGAAGCTGCAGGAGATCATGAAGCAGACGGGTTATCTGAAGATTGACGGACAGGTGGGATTCAAGTTTCAGTCCTGGACATGTTGGAGTTACAGAGCTGAAAGTCAGAGCAACAAACTCTGGGTTATCCCTCATGGCAGCAAAACTAAAAGTAATCAGTAAATCAAGCTTTGACAACAGGGATACACAGTTCAATCACGGTAGTGTTTTTTCACGTTACATTGGTCATCAGACTGGTTTACTGTGAACTAACCAACTAAAAACCTGTTTTCAAACATTTGCTGCTATACGTTTTTATATTAATCCCATTGATGTCAAGTCAAGTCAGATTTATTTTTAGAGCACATTTAAAACAGAAACTGTTACCAAAGTGCTGTCATAAACATATTTTATTATCCTCGCATGGACAGAACTAGCCTAAAAAAAGATTAAAACAGCTTGTTTCTGTGATGCAGACGACACGAAGAACAATTAGTTTGATAGAATTAAAAAACACATTTAGAGATTTTGTTGTTTCAAATGTTTAAGCTTTAATTCTCCACAGGCGCATCATAAGAGTTGTCTACAAAAATCTCATTTTGATTTGTTAGAATTAAGTGTTTTTTAAATGTATCTTTATAAACATTGCTTTGTGGAAAAGAGAAACTTGCTCTTATTTTGTTGGAAGTAAAAAAATAATAATTCAACATTTGTACCACTCAAGATGACTAAATCTACACCGATAGATGGGAATGGGCAGTGGTTTTATTCTTTAAAGTGGTATTTAAATATACAAATGAAAATAATTAATGGCGATGTTGTTTTGAGAAATTATCTTTTCTCACTTAACTTTACCTTGAAGAGTTGAAGTTGATTCCTAAACACTTAAGTGCTTTTTATTTATTTTGATACGCAAACCACAAAAACCAAACAAACTAAAAAGTTCTCTTTTTTTTTATCGACAGTTTAACAGACTGTAAATTCAGCATTGTAACAACCATCTGATAGCTGAATCTTAAATCTTTTTAAGGTTTACAAACTGCATTTATTGGTGAGCGGCACCATTATTGTTAAAAAATGTGAGGGCCTGTCAACACTTTGAATTCAAGTGTCAGATAAAGAAGCAGTGTCACCGCATTCTGTCTGAAATGATTCAGAACTGCAACATAGACCAAAAACATGTAAACAAGACATTTCTGCTTAATCTTTGTATAGCTATTTTATCCAAAGAGTCGTATTATTTATTTATTTTATGGCCCGTTTGTTCAGTTTGTTGTCAGCTCCGCGCCTCTTACACCTTTTAAAGGAATTTGGTGAAACTTGCTGATTTGTGCTGGGATGTAAGAAGGAAGTGGATGATGGATAAAGGAAGGAAGTGGATGAATGAATGGAAGAAGGAAGGAAGTGGATGATTGAATGGAAGGAAGAAAGGGGATGGATGGATGGATGGAAGAAGGAAGGAAGTGGATGATTGGATGAATGGATGGAAGGGGATGGCTGGATGGAAGGAAGAAATGAAGTAGATGGATGAATGAAATAAAGGAAGTGGATGGATGGATGAATGGAAGGAGGGAAGGGGATGAATGGAAGAAAGGAAGGGGAAGGATGAATGGATGGTGGATAAAGGAAGGAAGGGATGGATGGAAGAAAGAAGTGGATGGATGAATGGAAGAAGGAAGGGGATGATGGATAAAGGAAGGAAGTGGATGGATGGATGGATGGATGGATGGATGGATGGAAGGAAGAAATGAAGTAGATAGATGACCGAAAGGGAGGAAGGGGATGAATGAAAGACGGAAAGAAGTGGATGGATGGATGGATGGATGGATGGAAGAAAGGAAGGGGATGGATGGAAGAAGGAAGGAAGGGGATGGATGTCCTGATGTATGCTCAATAATCCAGGTAGGATAGATGATGGATGGATAAAGGAAGGAAGTGGATGGATGGAATTAAGATATGAAGTAGATGGATGAATGAAAGGAAGGAAGGGGGTGGACGGATGAATGTAAGGAAGGAAGTGGATGGATGGATGGAAGGAGGGAAGGGGATGAATGGAAGAAGGAAAGAAGTGGATGTATGGATGGGTGGGTGGAAGAAAGGAAGGGAATGGATGGATGGATGGATGGATGGATGGATGGATGGATGGGTGGGTGGAAGAAAGGAAGGGGATGGATGGATGGATGCTGGATGGACAAAGGAAGGAAGTGGATGGATGATGGGTGGATAAAGGAAGGAAGTGGATGGATGGATAAATGGAAGGAAAGATGGATGGACTAACTGCATGTGTGAGAATGACGTGACAAGAACTCCTCATGTAGGCATGACGGAGTTGAACCTGCCTTTTTTTGGTCCCAAGTCAGCTGCCCTACCACTGTACCACTGTACCACAGCCCCCTCTTCTAAGAAATGCTCCAAGCAGGGATCAAACCCACACACTTCTGATCTCAAGAACACTGTTCCACCGTAACAGTGAAAAGTTTTTCATTGTAACTAGTGGGTTAAGGTAAATGTTTCCCTTCAGGTGGATGTGACTCCGCCCCACAGCGCTCATGAGTTACTTCTTTTCGTCATTGTCAACAAAATAGAGAAATGTAGCTTAAACGTCTTATTTGTTCCCCAGTACTCCTCCTGGATCTACTCAAGAGACAATAGGTGGATCGTGGATAAACATGATAATTTATTTACAAAATGCATCTCCAGCCTGATTCAGTGATTATTCTAAACAAGGTTTTCTTCATTTTTAACAAATGAGAAAATGTCTGTACTCTGACCGAGTCTGCAGATAAAGTCTGAACAAGAAGTTTTCTAGATGAATGAAAGCGTTTCATGTCCTTAACGTGTCCTCGTGCAGAACCTTGTCTGGTGTTGTTCTGATAATAAACAGAACTTTATGAAACCAGTCATCACCTCGACATTTTGGGCTTTTTGTCTAATAGGCAGTGGCCTCGTTCCATTTTTTATTCTTCTACCCCTTTGTGTTGGTTTTGTTCTGTGTCCTTCAGAAGTTGCAGATCTTTAACAAACTGAGTCATTTCTTCTTACAAGTTCTAACTTCCTCTCCATCTGTGAGAGGCTGCTGATTCATGCGCTCAACGAAATGTCACTCAGCCGCACTAATGGTTCATTTTTAATGAAGCGGGCTTTAATGCTTCTCCGCAGTATTGACTGAGCAGGGAGCAGCTTATTTACAAATCAGACGACTTGTGACCTTGGGCTTAGCTTGAAGGCAAGAGTAGCATTTGATTGTAGTGATGAACATTTTAATTAGTGCTGATGATTTCAAGGTGTTTTGTTGTTTCTTGTGCGTCCGCAGAGGTATCCAGCAGAAGTAACAGACCTCATCAGTGAGGGAGAGATCGGCAGTGGGACATGTGGACAGGTTTTCAAAGTCCGATTCAAGAAGACGGGCCACGTCATAGCTGTGAAAGTAAGAGCTCCTGCACTGTCCTGTTAACTGTTGAGCATGCATCAGGATGTCCTGTTAACTGTTGAGCATGCATCAGGCTGTCCTGTTAATTGATGAGCATGCATCAGGATGTCCTGTTAACTGTTGAGCATGCATCAGGCTGTCCTGTTAATTGATGAGCATGCATCAGGATGTCCTGTTAACTGTTGAGCATGCATCAGGATGTCCTGTTAACTGTTGAGCATGCATCAGGATGTCCTGTTAATTGATGAGCATGCATCAGGATGTCCTGTTAATTGTTCATACGGTGCCTGACATTTTCACTTGTCTGACTCCAGGTTCAGTTTCACAATCTTCACTTTGTTTTTCCATCACATTGTTTTGCTTTAAAATATCAGTTTTTCTGAAGGATGTGTAGTTATGTCAGAACTGAAGGACATGAGTCTAACATTGTATGAAGGGAGGCATGTCGCCCTCTGCCTGCCATGCCAGAGTTTTACACTAAGTGACAGACTTGTGGTTGTTTTGGTCAAACCTTAAAAATAACGTCATATGCAATCTGGTGAAATACTGGACATTCTTGGCACGTCGGACAAACGTACACGTGGACAATAACCCGCCATGGTCTTATAGAGGGGCAGTAATAATGAAGCCGTGTGGCGTCCAACATGTCATCGGCTCAGTCTTTCATTAAAGCTTGTTGCAGTTTTTGTCCAGTACATAATACAATTATTATTATTGCAAAGAAAATGTAAATCTGCCTTTGTTTTTTACTCAAAACATAAACAGAAAGTTTTCTTGATTTTAAAACACGCTCTTTAAGACCTTTTGTAAATACTCGCACAAAGTCTGAACTGGCTGAAAATGAACATCAGTGCGTTTATCAAATTGTAGTGGACTAAGCCTGATGTCAAAACTGACCAGATGGACAGAAAC